GACCAGACCCTACAGGAAGGGAGTGAAAGTGTCCGGACTTGAAGTGGTTAACCCATTAGTAGGCCTACTTTGTCCTGAGCGGCAGCTGGCATCACATCTATTTATGGCTACCAAATTAACGATCGCGAGAGCTTGGAAAACCCTTCTTCTTAGCTTCGAGGCCGTTGAGAACTGCATGGATTTTATAATGGTTAATGAGAAGCTAACGGCCATGCTGTTAGACACCCACCCAAAGTTTTTGCAGATCTGGAGCCCTTGGATTGATGTGGCCCAACCATGTAGATTTGACCAGACCCTACAGGAAGGGGTGAAAGTGTCCGGACTTGAAGTGAGTTAACCCATTAGTAGGCCTACTTTGTCCTGAGCGGCAGCTGGCATCACATCTAATTATGGCTACCAAATTAACGATCGCGAGAGCTTGGAAAACCCTTCTTCTTAGCTTCGAGGCCGTTGAGAACCGCATGGATTTTATAATGGTTAATGAAAAGCTAACGGCCATGCTGTTAGACACCCACCCAAAGTTTTTGCAGATCTGGAGCCCTTGGATTGATGTGGCCCAACCATCTAGATTTGACCAGACCCTACAGGAGGGGAAAGGTGAAAGTGTCCGGACTTGAAGTGGTTAACCCATTAGTAGGCCTACTTTGTCCTGAGCGGCAGCCTGGCATCACATCTATTTATGGCTACCAAATAACGATCACGAGAGCTTGGAAAACCCCTCTTCTTAGCTTCGAGGCCGTTGAGAACCGGATGAATTTTATAATGGTTAATGAAAAGCTAACAGCCATGCTGTTAGACACCCCACCCAAAGTTTTTGCAGATCTGGGGCCCTTGGTTTGATGTGGCCCAACCATCTAGATTTGACCAGACCCTTCTGTCAATATAAGACTCTCCTAGCGCGATCCCCTGGAGCCCTTTCTTTGTCTTAACTATTCTTGTTTCTCCCTTCTTTTCTTTTTTCTCTCCTTTGTTTTTGTTAGCCTTCATGCGATTTGCGCTGATTGTAATACTAGAGAATCGTACCTGTAAGATAAAGGTGCAGTGCTAAGACACTGATGACCATCAAAAGTATCTGCAGTGCAAAATCAGTGCCAATGATGAACCATTCATAAATATTTAAAATGGATTGCTATTATGTTAATAGTGATAAAGTGGCGATAATATATAACGGTCAGTGTCCATACAAATGTGTCAAGGTCCTACCTTTTCCCAGAGGTTATGCTGCTCCCATGTGCTGACATCCATCTTGGGTTTCTGCAGAGCATGGTGGGAGTCTTTTTATGCCTTAAGGCAGTGGTTCTCAAGCTTCCTAATGTCGTGACCCTTTAATACAGTTCCTCATGTTGTGGTGACCCCCAACCATAACATTATTTACCCAGTAATTATAATTCATGAGTGTCGTTTTACCTCCAATACTGCTGCTTTCAACACAGTAGCTGCTTTCAACAGAGTAGCTGCTTTCAACACAGTAGCTGCTCTTTACACATCAGAAATATGTTTTTCTGATGGTCTTAGGCGACCCCTGTGAAAGGGTCGTTCGACCCCCAAAGGGGTCGCGATCCACAGGTTGAGAACCACTGCCTTCAGGCCTCTGCGGTCCATCCCCCAGAGGGGTGTGGTTGATCACATATAAGCCTGTTGTCCGCACGTGCTCTTTGCATTCGTGTCTTGTATGTTCGTGTTGCAACAAGCTCTGTTTCTACTCTCGTGGCTCTCCTGGAAACTGACTCGGCTTTTGACTAGACTATTCTCTGCGTTATCCATTTATCTGACCTCCCGTTGCTGAACCCGGCTTGTGACCTGTTATTCTTGTCTACTGGTCTGTACTGTCTGTCCCGTTGTTGTCGACCCGGCCTGCCCGACTACGCTATTGTCTTATCTGGTTCCTACCAGCTACACGCCATTGGCGGCGGCCATTACCGCAGCTAGGGTGTCTTGGGGGCCGCGGCCTGGTCCCTGGCTGCGTCAAGTCCATCCCCACCATCAGGGGCCCTGGTGAAGGGCAGCCTGGGACTTAGACTCCGCGCCCTGAGGGACTCCGGTCTGTGGGTGGTGGTTGTCGTCAGTTGGTGCGTGACCCATTAGGCCTGCCTGTCCGTTCCACAGCACCTGCCCTGACAAAATGATCAAACAATGTCCATGAAAGTGACCAAGTGCAAAATAAGTGCTAATGCAATAAAGTGCTAATAATGAATCATTCATATAATAACAGTATAAAGTGCTAATGGTCATAAAGTGGCAATTGTGAACAAATGACAATAACTGATTGTCAATATCATATAAAAGACAATTCAATGTCCATATAAGTGACAATGTGGAGATCCAGATGAATATGATCTCAAATAAGTGCTTCACGTGCTAGAATGAATATTTGGTGATGTGCTAGGAACGTAGTAAGATTACGCACTCACCAGATGCGTAATATTAATATGCATTTATAAGTAATGTGTTCAGCCGGAGGTCTGTTGCATGACCGCGCAGTTGTCATTTAAAATGCGACAGAGCTGGAAGCTGAAAATTGGCCCGGGCAGGAAGGGGGAAGAAGTGCCCGGTAGGCAAGGGGTTAATGCAATTTATAAGATTTCTTTCCACCCTTTTATGTATTGTGTTTCTGTACTCCATTTCTCTCCTTGTCAATACTTCAGTGCATTTGTCATGTCCTTCATCAGAAGAATTGTATACTTTATTCTTTTGTGTCAGTGATTTTTCTTTTGCAGTGCCAAAGCCACGCACATGAAAGCTGCGTTTACACATTGACAGACAAACCAAACACAGGTCATGCAAACATGAGATAAAAATGGTTATTTATTATCCACACCCTCCCCCCCCCCCCCCCCATCCTCCAGCTACAAATAGCTCATCATATCAAGTGCTGAGCAGCTTCCACAAAGACACCGGCCCAAAATGTCTGCAAAGTTGATAACGGTGGAAGATTTTGAGAAACATGCCAAATATTATCTGAAGAAGTCGGTCTTCGATTATTATCGATCGGGAGCGGATGGTCAGCAGACGTTGGCAGACAATGTAGCAGCGTTTTCAAGGTAAGTTACAATGTAACGTCATGACCTTTGTTTCTCCATTACCAGAGATTTTTACTGATGAATAGACAAAGGCATAGAGTAATGAGCCCCAGGCTCTGCGTGGGTGTCATTAAACTAGAATGCATGAACCAATGGTGGTCAATGTTCTTGATATGGGGGAATAAATGGCAGACCCTGACATCACCAAAGGGCCGCTCATAAGATCCAATGAATATTCAGCATCAGAGACAGTAGACACACAACAGGATAAAGTTGAAGCCTATTCGTATAATACAAGAGATGGTCAGAGACTGCAGACACAGTACAGGAGATGACCAGAGACTGCAGACATAATACAGGAGATGGTCAGAGACTGCAGACATAGTACAGGAGATGACCAGAGACTGCGGACAGTACAGGAGATGACCAGAGACTGCGGACATAGTACAGGAGACGACCAGAGACTGCGGACATAGTACAGGAGACGACCAGAGACTGCGGACACAGTACAGGAGATGACCAGAGACTGCGGACACAGTACAGGGGATGATCAGAGACTGTGGACATACTACAGGAGATGGTCAGAGACTGCGGACATACTACAGGAGATGGTCAGAGACTGCGGACATACTACAGGAGATGACCAGAGACTGCGGACACAGTACAGGAGATGACCAGAGACTGTGGACACAGTACAGGAGATGGCCAGAGACTGCGGACACAGTACAGGAGATGGCCAGAGACTGCGGACACAGTACAGGAGATGGCCAGAAACTGCGGACACAGTACAGGAGATGACCAGAGACTGCGGACATAGTACAGCAGATGACCAGAGACTGCGGACATACTACAGGAGATGGTCAGAGACTGCAGACATACTACAGGAGATGGTCAGAGACTGCAAACAGAGACTGCAGACATACAGGAGATGACCAGAGACTGCAGACATACTACAGGAGATGACAGGAGACTGAGACATAGTACAGGAGATGACTGCGGACACAGTACAGGAGATGACCAGAGACTGCAGACATAGTACAGGAGATACCAGAGACTGCGGACATACTACAGGAGATGACCAGAGACTGCGGACATACTACAGGAGATGGTCAGAGACTGCGGACATACTACAGGAGATGACCAGAGACTGCGGACACAGTACAGGAGATGACCAGAGACTGCGGACACAGTACAGGAGATGGCCAGAGACTGCGGACACAGTACAGAAGATGAACAGAGACTGCGCGGACACAGTACAGGAGATGGCCAGAGACTGCGGACATACTACAGGAGATGACCAGAGACTGCGGACATGATACAGGAGATGGTCAGAGACTGCAGACATAGTACAGGAGATGACCAGAGACTGCAGACATACTACAGGAGATGACCAGAGACTGCAGACATAGTACAGGAGATGACCAGAGACTGCAGACATAGTACAGGAGATGACCAGAGACTGCAGACATAGTACAGAAGATGACCAGAGACTGCGGACATAGTACAGGAGATGACCAGAGACTGCGGACATAGTACAGGAGACGACCAGAGACTGCGGACACAGTACAGGAGATGACCAGAGACTGCGGACACAGTACAGGAGATGACCAGAGACTGCGGACACAGTACAGGGGATGATCAGAGACTGCGGACATACTACAGGAGATGGTCAGAGACTGCGGACATACTACAGGAGATGACCAGAGACTGCGGACACAGTACAGGAGATGACCAGAGACTGCGGACACAGTACAGGAGATGGCCAGAGACTGCGGACACAGTACAGGAGATGGCCAGAGACTGCGGACACAGTACAGGAGATGGCCAGAAACTGCGGACACAGTACAGGAGATGACCAGAGACTGCGGACACAGTACAGCAGATGACCAGAGACTGCGGACATACTACAGGAGATGGTCAGAGACTGCAGACATGATACAGGAGATGATCAGAGACTGCAGACATACTACAGGAGATGGTCAGAGACTGCAAACATACTACAGGAGATGACCAGAGACTGCGACATACTACAGGAGATGACCAGAGACTGCGGACACAGTACAGGAGATGACCAGAGACTGCGGACATACTACAGGAGATGACCAGAGACTGCGGACACAGTACAGGAGATGACCAGAGACTGCGGACACAGTACAGGAGATGGCCAGAGACTGCGGACACAGTACAGGAGATGACCAGAGACTGCGGACACAGTACAGGAGATGACCAGAGACTGCGGACATACTACAGGAGGAGATGACCAGAGACTGCGGACATGATACAGGAGATGGTCAGAGACTGCAGACATGACACAGAGATGATCAGAGACTGCAGACATAGTACAGGAGATGACCAGAGACTGCAGGACATACTACAGGAGATGACCAGAGACTGCGGACACAGTACAGGAGATGACCAGAGACTGCGGACACAGTACAGGAGATGACTAGAGACTGCGACACAGTACAGGAGATGACCAGAGACTGCGGACATACTACAGGAGATGACCAGAGACTGTGGACATGATACAGAGATGGTCAGAGACTGCAGACATGACACAGGAGATGATCAGAGACTGCAGACATACTACAGGAGATGACCAGAGACTGCAGACATAGTACAGGAGATGACCAGAGACTGCAGACATACTACAGGAGATGACCAGAGACTGCAGACATAGTACAGAAGATGACCAGAGACTGCAGGACATACTACAGGAGATGACCAGAGACTGCGGGACATACTACAGAAGATGGTCAGAGACTGCGGACATAGTACAGGAGATGACCAGAGACTGCGGACACAGTACAGGGATGACCAGAGACTGCGGACATAATACAGGAGATGACCAGAGACTGCGGACATAGTACAGGAGATGAACAGAGACTGCGGACACAGTACAGGAGATGACCAGAGACTGCGGACACGGTACAGGAGATGGCCAGAGACTGCGGACACGGTACAGGAGATGGCCAGAGACTGCGGACACGGTACAGGAGATGACCAGAGACTGCGGACACGGTACAGGAGATGGCCAGAGACTGCGGACACGGTACAGGAGATGACCAGAGACTGCGGACACGGTACAGGGGATGACCAGAGACTGCGGACACGGTACAGGAGATGGCCAGAGACTGCGGACACGGTACAGGAGATGACCAGAGACTGCGGACACGGTACAGGAGATGACCAGAGACTGCGGACACGGTACAAGAGATGGCCAGAGACTGCGGACACGGTACAGGAGATGGCCAGAGACTGCGGACACGGTACAGGAGATGGCCAGAGACTGCGGACACGGTACAGGAGATGACCAGAGAGCGGACACGGTACAGGGGATGACCAGAGACTGCGGACACAGTACAGGAGATGACCAGAGAGACTGCGGACACGGTACAGGAGATGACCAGAGACTGCGGACACGGTACAGGAGATGACCAGAGACTGCGGACACGGTACAGGAGATGATCAGAGACTGCGGACACGGTACAGGGGATGACCAGAGACTGCGGACACGGTACAGGAGATGGCCAGAGACTGCGGACACGGTACAGGAGATGACCAGAGACTGCGGACACGGTACAGGAGATGACCAGAGACTGCGGACACGGTACAGGAGATGACCAGAGACTGCGGACACGGTACAGGAGATGACCAGAGACTGCGGACACGGTACAGGAGATGACCAGAGACTGCGGACACGGTACAGGAGATGACCAGAGACTGCGGACACGGTACAGGAGATGACCAGAGACTGCGGACACGGTACAGGAGATGACCAGAGACTGCGGACACGGTACAGGAGATGACCAGAGACTGCGGACACGGTACAGGAGATGACCAGAGACTGCGGACACGGTACAGGAGATGATCAGAGACTGCGGACACGGTACAGGAGATGACCAGAGACTGCGGACACGGTACAGGATGACCAGAGACTGCGGACACGGTACAGGGGATACCAGAGACTGCTGCGACACGGTACAGGAGATGACCAGAGACTGCGGACACGGTACAGGAGATGACCAGAGACTGCGGACACAGTACAGGAGATGACCAGAGACTGCGGACACGGTAACAGGAGATGACAGAGACTGCGGACATGGTACAGGAGATGACCAGAGACTGCGGACACATACAGGAGATGACCAGAGACTGCGGACACCGGTACAGGAGATGATCAGAGACCATGAACATACTGTAGAAGTTGTTGGAGTCTGGGGACATGCTTCGGGAGACATATTACACGAGACGGCTAGAAATGACTATTATAACAAGGTAATGACAAATGCCATGAACAGGAATGTACAATGACTGAACACGGCCTGTTATCAATAACAGATGATAATTGTGAAAAACACAGTAAGAAGTAAAATGAATGATAATGGATGATAACAAAAGGCAGAAGTGCAGGTTCCCCCCCCCCATGACTGATGGCCATGTGCACCCCCCACACAGAACACGCAGCCACATAACATGTGCAGAATTATCTGTACAATCTACAATATCGGAGATCTGTATGTGAATCTTTCTGTTGGTTTACAGATATTCGTCATGTTTTGCAGTTTGTTCCGAGGACAGGGAGTGTGTCTGCTGAGCCAGGCGGAGGTCCTCGCTGTGTATTATAGGCAGCCTCTGCCGGTCCTCCTCCTGCTTCCATCACGTTGGGGGCCAAGACTGGGCCTAACACAGCGATGACCAAGCTCAGGACGGCCACAGACAGGCAGATGGCTCTCACAGACACAGACACACCTCGACACACAAACACAAAAAATGGGTCCAGCTGAATGTTTTGCAGCATATATGCAATGCATAGTGAAAATGTGGGAGTACAACAACCCCCATCATTGGTGTCAGTGAGTGCAATAATAACCCCCCATCATTGGTGTCAGTGAGTGCAATAATAACCCCCCATCATTGGTGTCAGTGAGTGCAATAATAACCCCCCATCATTGGTGTCAATGAGTGTCAGCAATAATAACCCCCATCATTGGTGTCAGTGAGTGCAATAATAACCCCCTATCATTGGTGTCAGTGAGTGCAATAATAACTCCCCATCATTGATGTCAGTTAGTGCAATAATAACCCCCATCATTGGTGTCAGTGAGTGCAATAATAACCCTCCATCATTGGTGTCAGTGAGTGCAATAATAACCCCCCATCATCATTGGTGACAGTGTGCAGTATAATAACCCTCCATCATTGGTGTCAGTGAGTGAATAATAACCCCCATCATTGGTGTCAGTGAGTGCAATAATAACCCCCCATCATTGGTGTCATAATAACCCTCCATCATTGGTGTCAGTGAGTGCAATAATAACCCCCATCATTGGTGTCAGTGAGTGCAATAATAACCCCCATCATTGGTGTCAGTGAGTGCAATAATAACCCCCATCATTGGTGTCAGTGAGTGCAATAATAACCCCCCATCATTGGTGTCCAGTGAGTGCAATAATAACCCCCCATCATTGGTGACAGTGAGTGCAATAATAACCCCTCCAATCATTGGTGTCAGTGAGTGAAATAATAACCCTCATCATTGGTGTCAGTGAGTGCAATAATAACCCCCCATCATTGGTGACAATGATAATAACCCTCCATCATTGGTGTCAGTGAGTGCAATAAATAACCCCCATCATTGTGTCAGTGAGTGCAATAATAACCCTCCATCATTGGTGTCAGTGAGTGCAATAATAACCCCCCATCATTGGTGTCAATGATTGCAATAATATACCCTCCATCATTGGTGTCAGTGAGTGCAATAATAACCCCCCATCATTGGTGTGTGAGTGCAATAATAACACCCTCCATCATTGGTGTCAGTGAGTGCAATTGATAACCCATCATTGTGTCAGTGAGTGCAATAATAACCCTCCATCATTGGTGTCAGTGAGTGCAATAATAACCCCCCATCATTGGTGTCAGTGAGTGCAATAATAACCCCCCATCATTGGTGTCAGTGAGTGCAATAATAACCCTCCATCATTGGTGTCAGTGAGTGCAATAATAACCTCCATCATTGGTGTCAGTGAGTGCAATAATAACCCTCCATCATTGGTGTCAGTGAGTGCAATAATAACCCCCCATCATTGGTGTCAGTGAGTGCAATAATAACCCCCCATCATTGGTGTCAGTGAGTGCAATAATAACCCTCCATCATTGGTGTCAGTGAGTGCAATAATAACCCCATCATTGGTGTCAGTGAGTGCAATAATAACCCTCCACCATCATTGGTGCCAGTGAGTGCAATCATTGGTGTCAGTAAATAATAACCCTCCATCATTGGTGGTGCAATAATACAGGTGTCAGTGAGTGCAATAATAACCCCCATCATTGGTGTCAGTGAGTGCAATAATAACCCCCCATCATTGGTGTCAGTGAGTGCAATAATAACCCCCATCATTGGTGTCAGTGAGTGCAATAATAACCCCCATCCATCATTGGTGTCAGTGAGTGCAATAATAACCCCCAGTGAGTGCAATAATAACCCTACATCATTGGTGACAGTGAGTGCAATAATAACCCTCCATCATTGGTGTCAGTGAGTGCAATAATAACCCCCCATCATTGGTGTCAGTGAGTGCAATAATAACCCTCCATCATTGGTGTCAGTGAGTGCAATAATAACCCCCCATCATTGGTGTCAGTGAGTGCAATAATAACCCTCCATCATTGGTGTCAGTGAGTGCAATAATAACCCCCCATCATTGGTGTGACAGTGAATAGTGCAATAGTAACACTCCATCATTGGTGTCAGTGAGTGCAATAATAACCCCCCATCATTGGTGTCAGTGAGTGCAATAATTACCCTCCATCATTGGTGACAGTGAGTGCAATAATAACCCTCCATCATTGGTGTCAGTGAGTGCAATAATAACCCCCATCATTGGTGTCAGTGAGTGAAATAATAACCCTCCATCATTGGTGTCAGTGAGTGCAATAATAACCCCCCCATCATTGGTGACAGTGAGTGCAATAGTAACACTCCATCATTGGTGACAGTGAGTGCAATAATAACCCCCCATCATTGGTGACAGTGATGCATAGGTAACACTCCATCATGAGTGCAATAATAACCCCCCATCATTGGTGTCAGTGAGTGCAATAATTACCCTCCATCATTGGTGTCAGTGAGTGCAATAATAACCCCCCATCATTGGTGTCAGTGAGTGCAATAATAACTCCCCATCATTAATGTCAGTGAGTGCACTGCCCGAGGGCCCGGGGTCAGTAGGGGGCCCCATGAGATGCCCCTGGTATCTTTCATAGGCTTTTTTGGGTGCGGTTTGAGTGTGGGCGAGGACACAGGGGCCCCATGATCCCCTGTTGCCCGGGGGCCCCATGAGTTGTCAATCCGCCCCTGCATGTACCCCATACTCATTCACATGGGGGAGCAGCATCCGGGAAGGCCTCTTGTTAAAAGGGGCTTCCAGATTCCAATAAGCCCCCCACCTGCAGATGTCCACAAACCATTGGCCAGGGTTTTAGGGAAGAGGCCCTTGTCCCTATCAACATGGGGACAAGGTGCTTTGGGGGGGGAGCCTCCCCTGCCCCAAAGCACCCCCCATGTTAAGGGCATGTGTCATGGTATGGTTCAGGAGGGGGGGCACTGGCTCACTCCCCCCTTTCCGGACCTTCCGGGCTGCATGCTGTGATAAGGATCTGGTATGGGGGGGGCCACTTGCCATTTTTTTTTGTGGGCATGGGGGTTCCCCTCAAAATACATTCCAGACCCGAAGGGCTTGGTATAGAGGGGGGGAACCCCACACCATTTTTCTGCTAAATTTTCCATTCAGCTGTCAGTGGGGAACCTCGCTGACAGCTGCAACATGAACACGTTTTCACTAATAAAATACCGCCGGACTTCATAGAATAACTCATTCGGCATTTTAGTCATTTTTTAGTGAATGCCGTTTTTTTTTAAATGCTGTGCGGTATTGTACCACATACTCGGATCCCGTAACATACCGCTTCGTGAATTGTCACGGTTTGAAGTTCACGGGCAAACTTTCGTTAGGTTCGATTTTTTCGACCGTGAACCAAACGGGGGTGTGCGGCCCATCACTACTCTCCACAGATTGGACTTGGAAAAAAGCATGCAGCAAGTGAAATGGCAGAACTGCCAATCCATATTGTTTTCAGGGTCAGCAATCCATAATGTCTTTTACAGGTGAAACTCAAAAAATGAGAATATGGTGCAAAAAGTTCATTTATTTCAGTGCAGCAACTTAAAAGGTGAAACTAATATATGAGACTCATTACATGCAAAGCAAGATAGTTCAAGCCGTGATTTGTCATCATTGTGATGATTATGGCTTACAGCTCATGAAAACCCCCCCAAATCCACAATCTCAGAAAATGAGAATATTGTGAAAAGGTGGAATATTCTCGGCTCAAAGTGTCCCACTCTAATCAGATAATTCAGCCATAACACCTGCAAAGGGTTCCTGAGCCTTTAAATGGTCTCTCAGTCTGGTTCAGTAGGAATCACAATCATGGGAAAGACTGCTGACCTGACAGTTGTGCAGAAAACCATCATTGACACCCTCCATAAGGAGGGAAAGCCTCAAAAGGTAATTGCAAAAGAAGTTGGATGTTCCCAAAGTGCTGTATCAAAGCACATTAATAGAAAGTTATGTGGAAGGGAAAAGTGTGGAAGAAAAAGGTGCACAAGCAGCAGGGATGACCGCAGCCTGGAGAGGATTGTCAGGAAAAGGCCATTCAAAAGTGTTTGGGACTTTCACAAGGAGTGGACTGAGGCTGAGAGTCAGTGCATCAAGAGCCACTACACACAGACGGATCCTGGACATG